TGTACCTGCATCATATGTGCATTATACATGTATTAAAGAGATGTTTGAAAAATATCCGATTTGAGTTGTTTTATGTTTGAAATGAATGGCGATAAATTATTTAAGACCATGTGAGAAACATGAGGGAGAGATGCAAGGCAGTTTGTAATTACAGAAAAGGAAAACAGAGAATCGGGTTCGGATTTTAACAATCCTGACCGAAATAGGTATGGAATATGTGTGTGGATTAAATTCATTGTATGTAGCATAAATAAAATTCCAAATAGGTATTTTAGATGGGAAACACAGGGAAGAAACAACGTGTATTGCTTTTTACTATGCTGAAAGTCGCTATTTCTTATAAGATTGTGTTATTCTAGAAAAAAAAAATCAAATTTCAAATGAAATCAAGATTCATTCAATTAAAATTAAATCTTAATAAAATTGAAATAAATTCTACATACCAAAGAAAGCTAGAATACTTTGTATTAAAATGTCGTATTAGAGCAGGAGAATCAAATGATATTAACAACAAATGAAGAAATAGCCAATGCAAGCTTTAATTCATTTTATGCCCATCAGAATTTAAATTTCAAACAGAAAAAAAAATACAGTTTTTGGCGATATTCCGTAGAATTTCATTATACTCAAGAGACTCACCGTAAAACTCTTAGGACACTTTCTTTAAGGTTTCTTCTACTCAAATCCTTTATCTTATGTCGATCTGTGTTGTCTTTTCAGAGGTAAAAGTTTTTTCTATGTTGCTATTGATTTTTTTAAGGGACGGGAGGGGGGGGGGGGTTATTTCATAAGCATTTGTTAAAATGAGAGTTGTTAATACCTCCACATACTTAAGCTTGATTGTGACCTTTTGGGTCAATGGGGTCAAAGGTCAAGGTCATTTATCAAGGTCAAAGGTCAAGGTCATCAGAGAGAGAGAGGTAAACTTGAGATTAACACTTGAAGCTGAATCTAGATAAAGGTAATAAATATTTCTTTATTACTTTTTGAGTAAGGGTCAAAGGTCTCATTTTGAGGACAAGAAATCACGTGACCTGAAGAAAGTAAATTTTAAAAGAAGATATTTGAGGTTACTCTAGACATTTGCAGTCTGAATAAAATGTCCCAAAATCATTTCAAATACTTTCTTATAAAAGATATTTATGGGATAGTACGATACTCAATTTATGCAATTTTTCTCTCATAATTGGAAGTCGTCATTTTTCTTTCCAGTAGGACTACATATCTCGAAACTACAAGTAAGATGCTATAAGGTAATACTAAGAAAGATTCCATTAAGAAAAAATTAAAATTTTGATTTATTTGATCACTTCCTGTGACAACCGGTAGTCTACTCCTCAAGGTCTACCATCCCTATTAATTTGTTGTTTTAATCTCTTACCGTTTACGAGATCCAGTTATGATAACTTCTGATATTGAGGTCAGGAAGTCACGCGACCGGAAGTGAATTTTACTGAGATATTAGACATTACTGTAGACATTTGCAGTCTGAATAACATATCTAAAAATCATTACAAATACTTTAACTATAAAAAAAATTTAAGGGAAAGAAAGATAATCAAATTATGTAGTTTTCCTCTTTTAACCGGAAGTTGTCATTTTGTTTCCATTGGGACTGATACATTTCGAAACTTCAAATAAGGTGCTATAATGTGATGCAAAACAAGTTTCAAAAAAGAAAAGTTGATTTTTTTTATTTCTTTGATCACTTCCTGTGACGACCGGAAGTGACGGCGGACGATCTTACCCCAAATGGGCTCGCCTCCTAATCAAGATCTACCACTTGTATAAGTTTGGTGTCTTAATCTCTTTCCGTTTACGAGATCTAGCTATTATAACTTCTCATTTTGAGGACAGGAAATCACGCGACCGGAAGTGAATTTTACAAAGATATTTGACGTTACTGTAGACATTTGCAGTTAGATAGAATGTTCTATCGTTAAAATGATATTGTCCTACGGACCCGGTTTAACGATAGAATTCGTTCCGTGTTTTCATAATGTAGCAAAAGAAACACGGGCGATAACTCGCATAGTGCATTTACAAAGAACAATCTAGAGAGTTCCGAATGTAAACATGGAGGTAATTTGAATCGAGAGAAAAACGTTGAGAAAATGAATTGGATTTTCGTATTTATATGGATTATTTTTTGGGATGAAAGGCATAAGCAATCTCAAGAAGGTTTGTTTTGATTATTTTGGTAGTTTTTCCCAGTGCAAATAATTTTATATTCTTCAAAATCGTTTCGGTGCGATTCTGCAATTTTTTGCTACATTACGAGTATATGGGTGGTATTCTAACTGTGGTGAGGGCCTGTACCGAGACACAGTTAGATTATTCTAACTAATTTGCAGTCTGAATAACATATCCAAAAATCATTACAAATACTTTATTTATAACAAATATTTATGGGAAAGAAAAATACTCAAAATATGTAGTTTTTCTCTTATAACCGGAAGTTGTCGTTTTTGTTTCCGGTGAGACTGATATATTTCGAAACTACAAATAAGATGCTATAATCTGATGCAAAAAAAGTTTCATGAAAGAAAAGTTGAAATTTTCGATTTCTTTGATCACTTCCTGTGACGACCGGAAGTAACGCCGGACAATCTTAACCCAAATGGGCTCGCCTACTTATCAAGATCTATTACTCATATAAGTTTCGTGTCTTTATCTCTTATCGTTTCTGAGATATGACTCAGACAAAATTATTTTGAAAAAAACGGAAATCGGACATAGCTGACGACCGGAAGTGACTTTTGAAAAACTGAAAACTACATTTGAAAGATATTTTCACTCTGTATTATCCCTGAAAATTTCATGAGAATCTGTCCTGTCATCTCTGAGAAATCGTCGAAAAAAGAAAAGGGGAAAAAAATAATAATAATAATAATAATAAAAAGAAACAGTAGAATCACTATAAGGTCTTCCGTCTGAAACGGAAGACCTTAACTAGATGAAACTCATTGCAAGCAACGAGAGGTCTTCCGTCCGATTCCGGAAAGAAAACGTAAAATCAATTTGAAAAGTAAAAAAAAAAAAGATTTGCACACAAGGGGGATTGAACCAACGTCGTCACATGAAATTCCAACGCACTAAATATTACGCTATCGGGACCTCTACTCTAAATCTACTTGTATATTTCATTGATACAGTGCTTCTCTCTTAAAATTATGAAAGGCGGGTCACTATTCAAATCTTAGCGCCAAACGCCATGAGTTAATCTTCGCCCCTTTTCTTTGGAATGTTCTATTAAATAGGAGTGATAGCTTTAATGAAATTAAATGAAAAGAACGTTCTTATAGCCTAAGATTCGAAGTTTAGAAAGTATGTTTAACACATTTTACAAATTCCATATTGTACATATGCATGTAACACTAAAGCGGTGAAACGGTTATGAATTTTTTTCAATTTCCTGTTTATCCTCAAAGTGAACCATCCCGAATAGTTAATCGAAAAAGGTTGAAACGTTTCGCCGGAAAACATGGCTCGCCCTACGACTGTCAGGAATCCGATATCGTTTATGCTCAATAACTTGAATCAGGTCTTTGAGACAAGAATGCTAAAATAAACTCCATGAAGCGATCTTTAAAAAAAAACATTTTCTTATTTTTGTCTAATTTATTAGTTTAATATGACACAAGTGTGCATAGGAAAAACAGTGGTTAATATTTATATTGACAAAATTAATTGATATTCTTTTTTGAGAAAGCATTACTTATAAGTATGATTTAAGATCTGTTTTTCGGCGATGCACAAGAGATATTAGGTATCGAATTTCATTTGCACATTTAGTCTTTTCTTTTTCTACTTTGAAAACCAGCCAAAACCAATTATAGAAGACGTTAGTTTGACACAGAACTGCAACATAAATACGACGTGACAATCCAAGTATTCCTCTGCCTTTCATTTATTCTTATGTTACTTTCGTTCAAACAAATGCTCGGCTGCCTCCGTAAACACCTATTGCGAAATGTCGGCGTTGACAGAGACAGCCGCCATTTTGGACCCGCTTCAGATTTTTGAATGCTAATATATAGAGTTTAGTCTTATCACCATTCAAACAAATTATATAGTAAGCATTATTAGAAGGGTTTCTATAAACAAGCTTAAAATAAATGAAAAATACTGAAAAACAAAAAAGTTAGAAAATACGATTTTTTTTAATTTGCATCTCGTAACAACCGGAAGTACTGACGACGCACGAAAAGGTGATTCTGCAAACCACAAAGTCATAATCTATCATCTCCAAGAAGTCTCCAGTTCATATCCTAAACCGTTTTCGATAAAAAGGGGCGACAAAATTGCATTTTAAAATCAGGAAAATGTCCATAACATGGCACCAGAAGTGAATTTTCCAAATTTTGCATCGGAAGTAACAACTTCATATTATAACTCATATTTTGTGAAAGTTTCATGAAAAACCGCTGAATAGTTTCCGAGAAATCGCCTGCACAAAATTTTGTCAAAAAAAAGAATAATAATAATAATAATAAGAAACAGTAGAATCACTATAAGGTCTTCCGTGAAGACGGAAGACCTTAATAATAAGAAACAGAGTAAAAACAATATGTTCCCCAACTTCGTTTGGGGAACATAATTAGAGTAATCTTCACTAAAACATTTTCTGCAAGAAATATATTTTTTCACCCTGACCTTTTAATCTATAAGAATAAAAAGGAGTCTTTCTTAAGTCAATAAGAGTTATGATGTAATAATGCATTGATAAGCTGAAGGAAAAAAGAATTCATCTGGAAACCATTATTTTGCATTGCCTGAATTTCTGATTGTAACTTTGACCTTTAAATCAAAAGTTTTCTTTATAAAGTCTTATAGAGTTGTGATATAAAATTACATTGAAAAAGCTATAAAAAAAAAAAACCACACAAAATCATCTATGTCAGAATCAAACAATATATTTTCACCCAAAAATATTGAAGACATGGAGTTATAATCATAATGGGCAGTATTTCAATAACGAGGTTATCCTTCCTTGACAGTCCTGTACGAGAATTTGACGTCTCCATAGGGGAGTTCACTGCTGATAAAAGGCAGGATTTGCTGGACGTAGCGGGACATTTTGCACTGGATGTAGCCTTGTATGATGATCATTATGAAACTGCAAGAAAAATCAAGGTCTGGTCATAAACATTAGCTATATCAATGTTAACGTATTTAAATGATTTTTTGTTGTGCACATGTAAGAATTCTTATTTAAAATTTTTGGAGGACCTCTGTCTCCCTGGAACTATTAGGCAAATTATTAATAAATTTGCTAATATCACAGTCTTTTTCAGATGACAGGCTTTTAAATTATTAATTAAACATCTTTTTTTCATTTTCAAAATCCTTTTATTACACCAAACAGCCAGGACAGTTTATAAAGTTAAACAACCTCCATGCTGCCACCTTCGTATCGGCTGAGAACCGACCAGAAATGTCGGAGTTACCTATGATAGAGCTGGTCATTCACCGCGGCACAGCGTACGGTAGAGGTGTCCATGTTATAAAAGATGATTTCGATGGAATCAAAACACTGAAAGAAAGACTTGAGAAGGTCACAGCAGAGGTCAGGAGAAGAGGAGATTCTGAAACTTCAGAACATTCCAATTCTGCTGCCAGGAAAGTTACAGAAGTGGTGGATAATTCAGGGAACTGTAGGAGTCCTAATGGCAACCATGACATATCAACCAGTCAGCCAGCAATAAACTTGTCTTCTGACAATGCTCAGGAAGTGACAATGGAGGTATCATGTGACCGTATAGACCAATCACAACCCCACAAGAGTTTCACAGGAGAACAAACCCACCACTCAAATTCGCAGCAGTCACAGAATTGGGCTAGATGCATGATGCAGACATCAACAGGTTTGTTTAGGAAATGCAGAACTAAGCTCATCACTGAATTTACAATAGCTCTGGGAATGTTCATGTTTATTGTTTTTTTAAACAAATTTAGTCAGGCAAATGCCCCAGTATTGTTTTCTATTTAAATAACTGCTTTTTCTCCCTTACAGTTGTTCTGAATCATCCTCATATCCAGTGTACAAATATTAAGGATGTACTTTCACACAGCGTGCCTTATAAATTCAGAATTCTGGCAAGAGTTGTAGACTTCTTCCCAAGATTTAACATACCAGAAGACATCTGTAAACTGTACTGCCCAGAGTGTAACTACTTGTAAGACTTTATTATTTATTTTTTCAATGACTCTACTCAAATGCAATCTAAATCTACATTTTGAACCGAAAAGTTAATTTTTGTTTTAAAATATTGTTGGTATATGTATATTGTCATTTGAAAAAGAAAAAAATTAAGGGAGTGTGAAATAAAAGTGCCATTACTGTATATGTACACATGTTAGTGTACACTCGTATTTAGATGAAAAACAGAACATAATGTACATGTATCTAAAACAAAAATTTTCACCTATATTTTATAAGTAGCCTTTTTGTCCATTTTGAGAAGAATATTACATGTACAATGAAAAGATCTAAAATAAAACCTGATGGGAAATGATAATAGTTTTGGAAGGTTAAGGTGTCTGTAGTAAGTAAGTAAGTAAGTAAATATTTTATTATCGTGACGTGTATACAGTTATTTTTAACAAACATTATACAATTAAACATAATTTATGTTCAACACCCGCCCCATCGGACCTATAAGTCACTTTTAGCAATTTATATACATTACAGTTTACATGCGTGTGATTTTTATTTGTCTTATATTATAGGCTTTTTAAATAAAATTTGCAGATTGACGAGGGAAGTGAGTTAACAGATATTTAGAGAGAACACTTAAATCATTATAATTATGTAAATTTGAAATTCCAATATTTCTTAGAAAGTCCTGTCTACAGATTTTATATAGATTACATTTAAAAAGAAAGTGAAGTTCATCCTCTACTTCATTCATATCACAGAGGTTACATATTCTTATAGTTTATAAGGCTGTAATTTTGTGTCTATGAAAAACAATTACCCAAACCCACCTAGAGGCTAGTACACATTTACATTTTACCAGTGTTGATTGTTGAAATAAAACATTTAATCTGTGGTCTTTCACTATTCAATACATTTGCGGTATATCGTTATGTTCATGGAATGTTACATGTTTTGGTATAACCATTATTTTCCTTTATAAATTCATTTTTTTTTTACAGGTGTGATGTCCCTTTAGAAGAAAATGGGTAAGTTTAAAAAATAATAGCATTTTGTGAGTTGTATTCTTGTTCTTTCTCTTATATCTATAATTTATATTGTTGCACTGCCACAGTAAATTAACCTGAGAAGACTGATAATGTTGCAATTACTGTTATTTTCAATAACTGTTAGGAAAACTACCTTGAAAATTAGCAGAAGAGGAAGACAATTAAAGCATTACCTATGTCCTGTCTGTAGTAAAGGTAAGACTAATTTTAGATGTAAAATATAGAAACACACTTTTATACACTCACTCTGATGGAGTGGGGCTGTAATGTTTTACCCATGTGTGTTGATGCTGGTCTGTTTGTCTGTCCATAACAAACTCTTGACACAGTTTTCAGGGCAACTGCTTGAAATGTTTTAGCACACTTTTTGTTTAGGCATGCTATATGGTGGGATTTATTTTTATGTGGATCAGAAGTCAATTTCTCATTTATCCCTGTGTCTGTGTGTAAACTTGTGTATATTCACATGAAAGCATATTTTCAGCAGAGCAGAGGTATTGCTAGTGAGCATTGCCTCACAGACTTCCTGTTTCCCAGAAGGTTAAAATTCCATGGAACACAATTTGTGTTCAAACTGCAAATGGAACATTTCATGGAATTCTTGGAATGCATAGTGTTTTAGGTTATTTTAAGTATGTTTAATTTCTTTGAAAATATTGTGATCATGCACCAAAATAGTGTTAAATGTTCCCATGCAGAAAAAAAACTGTCTGAAGTATTAAACACATTCATTCACAATTGTGATGATATGATTCAGATTTTGCATGAAATAAATATAGATAATAATAATAATGTTCATACTTTCTACATTGAAGAATTTATATATTTCAGATTCCCAGTTTGAGTTAGAGTATATTGTTATTTTTTTCCAGATTCCCAAATTGAATTAGAGTATATCATGTATTTCAGATTCCCAGTTTGAGTTGGAGTATATCTTTATGATGAGATTCTTGCTGAGAGATAAAACAGGAGAGATCTTGGTCAACCTATGGAGGAAAGATGCAGTAAGCAGTGTCTTGTTTGTTTTATACCCTCTTGAGCATTATAAATCTCAGCAGTAGATTTTTACCATGTCCAGTGAAACTGGTTTTTAAAAAAATCAACAATTCATGAATAGTTCATATTCAATAAACATCCTAGAGAAACTAGCAAAATTACACAAGACAATTTAATTTGCCATGTGGCTAGACTTTTTTTTTATATCTGCATTTTTGACTGACTCCTCTTTGACCTTTAACACTAATCAGAAAACAAACCATTCTTTTGATTTATTCTTTTTTTTTTTTGAGTAATCAACAGAATGATATTCTCGCCTTATGAATTCTGAAATTAGCATTTTTACATGCACTTGGAGATCGAATATGGCAGCTAACACTATGCTAATGTGATTAACAACCAAAAGATACACATAAAGAGTGATTTTTAGTCAAATTTTAGAAAAATATCAGAAGCAGCAAACAATGATCAATTATGAAAATGAACTGATACCTCACCATTGTTTTTAACTTTGACCTTAATGATTTTAACTGATTTTTTTCCTGACATACTTGGCAACAAAAATTCAAACTCATGTTATATTAAACTGCCACTTTGGCAATCATCAGGAACTCCAAATATTCCACACCTAAAGTAATTGTGGTTTCCTATCTTGGAATACTGTAAAATCATCATTGTTTGTGCAGTGATTGGGTTAAGCACGCGCCCTGCGCCATAGTCGCATTAAATTTTAAAATGTCACATTAAAATTAAAAACGCTGCGCCATCGTGGCGCATATATAATCATGCACTACATACTTTTAAACTTTGAGCTTTCCCCCAAGCTTTCCCACAACAATCGCTGTCAATTTACGCTTGAAAAAAAACAGTATTTAATGTCGTTTAGTTAAAGCGTTCTTATGACTTTCTTTTCTCCAGTATCTAATCAAACAGTTACGTGTTTTCTGATTGGCTAACCCGTACGAAATACCGTAAACTCAGGAGTGCAGCATTCTGCATAAAAAAATACCTCGTATCGATAAAGGGCAGACATTTCTTAATTTTAACAATCTTAACAAACAGGATTCAAGTAAATTGGTAGAAAATGACTCGGAAGAAGTATAACATGCTGACAGAACAAAATGGAGATGAATCTGACGGTAAGACTGATGATGTAGTCTCGCAGGAAAAAACCAAAACGAAAACTTAACATGAATTAGAGGGAAGCAGTTTAGATCTTAACCAGGCTTTAAATCATTTTAAAGATGTCAAACATCGGAGACAAAAAATAAAGAATTAAAATTAAATTGCAGTGTTTATTTATTTTCTGACACTTGAGAATTTAAATATACTAATTTTGTATCTTTTAATGTCATCATTCAATAATTTGACAATTTCAATTAAGTAAAGTCAACTGAAATTCTAACAGCAACTAATCAATTGCAAGTTTGTAACTAGGAAATGTCCCATTAAAAAGTATGTTTGGCGCATTGAATTTTGAAATGTCACATTGACACTGACTTGGAGTGTGCCATTGTCACATTTACTCCCTAGCTTATCCTAATCACTGTTTGTGGGGGATCATTGTTCATGGATTTTGTGGGTCACCCATACCAACGAATTTACATCCCCACAACATCCCCACAAACGTTAATTAGGTCACCTGGGGCCCGTTTTACAAAAGGACTTACGACCAACAAATTTAATTCTTCACATAACTTTTTAATTAACTTTATATCGAAAATTATTTTAAACTTTTTTAAAGGAATGTGGAAAGATATTTTTACAGAAAAAATTTCAAAGAGAATGATTAATTTTGCAAAATTTTACAAACATCTAAAGTTTTTGGTCTTAGTCGTAAGTTCTTTTGTAAAACGGCCCCAGAGCTGAAGGCTTAAGTGAGCTCTTCTGATCACATTTTGTCTGTCGTTCATCTGTCTGTAAACTTTTCACATTTTCGACTTCTTATCAAGAACCACTTGGCCAAATTTAACCAAACTTGGTACAAAGCATTCTTGGGTGAAGGGGAATTTAAATTCTTAAAATGAAGGGCCAGGACTTCTCACAAGGGGAGATAATCAAGAAAAAAAATAGGTTGGGTACATTAAAAATCTTCTCGAGAACCACTTGGCCAGAAAAGCTGAAACTTATGTGGAAGTATCCTGGGGTAGTGTAAATTCTAAATTTTTCAAATTTTGACCCCGGGGGTTGGGTTGGGCCACAATAGGGTATCAAAGTTTTACCTAGAAGTATATAGGAAAAAAACTTTAACAATCTTCTTCTCAAGAACTACTTCGCCAGAAAAGCTGAAACTTATGTGGAAGCATCCTGTGATAGTGTAGATTTTAAATTGTCCTAATTATGACCCGTGGGATATGATTGGGTCACAATAGGTATTACAAGGGGGAAATCTGGTTAAGAATAGCATGGTCAAAGCTTCTGAGGTGAGCCATGTGGCCCATGGGCCTCTTGTTATGTTAACATATTGATTCACTGAACCTTCAAATTTAAGAGTGACCCACAAAATTATGTCCCTATGAACAGGTCAAATTTTGCTTATCAACGAACATTGAAACCCCCCCCCTCCCAATTTAAATGGTTCCACAGTAGGGCAAAGATTTCTAACTGAATATCACCTTTTCAGTGATGAGAACATTTAAATATTTGAGTGTTAATACTCAGGATGTTCTTCTTGCAAAAAAATGTCATTCTCAAGTATATTTTTATTAGCATATAAGTATATCAGGCAATACTAGCATTCATATAAAATCTGCCATGTTCATATATACATGTACCAAACACCTATCTCAAGAAAAATAAGAAGTTGAAAAAATTTGATTAACTAAGCAGTTATTCTCTTTTTTTTACAGGTGACTTTTTTCCAGGATATAACTCCAGTGGAAATGCTGACAGAATCAGCTTTGTGTACTGTGATAGAAAACTGTCTAAATGCTATCTGTGATCCTGACAAGAGTGACTGCCCTTGGTTTGAATGTTGTGTAAAATCCTACAATACCCAGATGGGAGTTCGTTATCAGATTTTTGACACCTGTTTAGCATGACATTGTTATCAAAGATAAATTTTAAAATGGTGCTTTAGTTATTGTCATAAATATTAATTGATTATTAAATTTATAGGGAATGAGATCTTGGATTTTTTCCCAGAAGATGACAATAAATACAGGATTCTGAAGGATAATTGATGTACTTCTCAGTATATTACCATGGAATTTAGAAATTGTTACATTTCACCTTGGTGCTTCCCTCTAGATTGCTCCAAAAATTTTTAATTGTTAAAAGCAAAAACTTGCATAAAGGTTATATGCAAGTTTTGAAGCATATTTTAAATGCTGCAGGTAACCTACACAGCAAATGAAAGCAAAGGATAAAAGTTCAAGCAGCTTATTCTTATAAAGTATTTCTCTTTCAAATATATGATGTATTAATCATAATTGATCCTGCAATGCATATGGATTTGTCATAGGCCACATGCATCTAAAAGACTATTGAATAGATAACCTTATCCAAACCACAATTTTACAGATAAGTTGATTATTCTTGACTGTAACCTCTAGTTTCTCTTTATAATTCATGAAATTAGCTTGAGGTTACATTATATGTACCTTCAAACGTTCCCTAGTAATTAACTTTTGTGCTTCCATGCTTCCAATGCAGATAAAATTTCATTGGCAGACCAAGTTTTATGAGACACCTAACCAATGTATTACTGCATGCTCATCAAAAACAAAAAAAAAATTTTTACAAACCCTTTAACGAAATTAAATAAAATCTACCTGAAACGTATTTTTTTAAAAAGCATACATTTTAAATGTTGCATGCATAATTATTATTATTATTGCAAATTTTCATTAAAATTTTCAAAGTGATCTAAGACTTCAGAGTAAATGTGTCGCTGTGAACAGTCCTTGTACACTGAATTTGATATACAAGTTCGATTACGCTTTATATATTATGGAAATGGGGTTATTTCTACCCTTCCAAAAAAAAAATCTCTACAAAAGAAAAAAAATATTTCTCTGTTATCATGTTTTGCATACAAGGTACCTAACACAGATTTAGACACACCCTCTTCATGCTCCCATTATGTCTATTTTTCAGTCATTAACATACATTTGTACATTAATTTGTACATTAATGTGACATGGTTCACTTTGAGAGAATTTTTTTCTTTTTAATAAATCATTCCAGATCTCCTTCAAGTCTTTGTATTATGATACTAATCATTTATTGCACAAAAAGGTTTCAACTTCTAGCTTCATTTTGAGACGGGTAAAAAGGATTCCAAATTGTTCGAACAAAGAGCAAAGTACCACTTCGAGGATGAGATAATCCAAAAAAATCAAATACGGGGAGGGTCATAAAATACAAAATAAAGGACCACTGGGATGGAAACGATAAACATTGAAAACTTCCTGAGGTAGTGAAGTTTCTACATGTAATTTCGCCAAATCTTGCTCCAGTGGGAAAGGGACCGCAAAAGGGGGTGATTTTTTCCCCATTGAAATATAAAAGAACATTTTAAAAGAACCATAGCCCAAAAAATACAACCTTTGAGGGTGCTTCCGAAAAAAAAGCACTTTTTAAAATGTTCAAATTGTAACCCTATGGATTAATAAATAGCAGCAAGGAATCAAACTTTCACATTAGAATACATAAGAAAAACCAAGAACCCGAGATTCGTTCAAAAATAATGCAAATGGTCATCTAAATTAGGAAAAGTACGTAATACACACGCTTACTAGTTTCATCCCCTCATCTACTCCCTTTTACCCTTTGCACATGCTTAAGGGCTTTGTACCTATGTCTAGAAACCTCGGCACATACATGTACATCTTTAACAATGCCCAAAAGACAATGACGGATATCATTTCCCATGGCATATCTGATATATTGTTCAATCTTTTAAAATTACACTGGAGACCTGTATCTGGACTTACTTTGAAGGAAATCTGTTTTATTTTCCTTTGTGCAATTTAAACATAAAAGTAACCATTTATGATTCTTTATATTTGACGCCAAGATCAACTGTTTTAAAAGTAAATTCGTGCTTTATTGGTCTCCATGGAGTTTCTTTTAACCGCCTGATGAGTTGGTTACAAATGACACGAACCAATTTGCCTTTTCATTTTTGTTGCTGCCCTTAGATTTATTGATGAAACCCGTAGAACTAAAATTGCTTTAATCTTACAAAATTTCACTTGTATTACTTGTTTTTCTTGTAAAATCCACAGATTCACTTCCATGAATGAGGGAGATGACGGGGAACTGGTCTTGCATTGGACTTTTTTATGCTACATGTAAATTCAAAATTTAAATTAACATTAACAAAAACTAGAGGCCCTGTGAACACTGAGCTCACTAAATGGTAACCCCCTCCCCCGCCTCTCATGTGAAAATTAAGTCAAATGTTTTGCTCTGGGAGACCCGAAATAAGTGTCGCATCAAGAAGTAAAATAAAAGGATAAAAAAAATCGGTGAAAGTATCATTAAATTTTATTCAGTTATATAGAGGGAGTCGCGGATAAGAGATGGATACCCCAAAGAGTAACGAACGGATGGAGGTACAGACGGACACACAGACGGCGAACACTATATACCCTCGCACTTTCAAGTGGGGGTTATAAGTGTGTGGAGGGGCTAGTCCCCTCCTCAACACACATCCCCCACTGATTTTCTCTTTTCTCTTCCTTTGTTTTTTAAAACCTGTATGGCTCGGCAAATATAAGATTCGAAAACAAGTTTTATGAGTGCTTTATTGAGATAAATTTATAATTTATCCGCTGATATATGCATCATTACAACTACCCAAGCACCAGCGAGGACAGCCACTCCCTCTCTTACACATGACCTCAGAGAGGCGGTTTGCAAACTTGTGGCAGTTGTTGCTCAATAAATTGTAGCTACCGAACGTGCACCGGTAGTTGCGTGCGCAACCCTTCAGACACTCGACATCTACCTCACTGTAACCAGCAGGCGAACTCTCCCTTCCGCCCGAACATTTGTACCCAAGAAGACGGTTTGGTGAAACATGGGCTTTGGAGTCACCTTTAAAATTAATTGCATATATCATATATATTTGCATTCTGTCACATCATAATGTTGCTTGTTTATTATATTGTTTGTGTGCAAAAGAAATACTAGTACTCCGCAAGTAGGCTTTGTAAAGTCTCTGACTTCGCATAAGTTGCATTAGTCCAAAATTACAAGGAATAACATAACAAATAAAATGAAATGAAATGAAAAGTTAGTGATATCTTTAAGAAATTGAAGTTTAAATAATTTAAAACTCTTGAAGGAATAATTTAAATAATTTTATTACAATCAGTATTATTGGATTTGGAATGATTTTGACATTTAATATAACTAGAGAAAATACTCACTTGAAAATTCGAAATACAACCCTTTATAGTAAATAAACCGATGAGTCAATTCCCACACTCCCCTTGTTGGAATGCCACGTCTGCCCTTGTTCATGCACCAAAGATTTGTGGTACCAAAATAATACGGACTTGCTCCACCTTCGCGTTAACAAAACAGGCAAAAAACTAAAGAATGGAGGCGTACAAGGCGAGGACAATCCCCCGCTCTGAGAAAAGACATTTCTCAATTCTAAAAGTTACATTTTTTCAAAATTATATTGTTTATATCATCTTTTACACATTTAATTCTGTATTTCATTGTTTTAATATTTTATTATGAATTTATTTTTCACTCATGTTTTTACGATATGTGAAAAAGAAAGAAAAAGCTTCATATATCATTCGAACTCTCTCCATGGCGCTGGGTTTGGTCCAAGACGGACCGCTTTAACCACTACCCTACGAAGTACGTGTATATGCATTATCGACGTCGGTCAGTGTGATTTAAATGAACGTGTTTGTTGAAGCGTATATATTTTTTTAAAGAAATTTTTGATTTTCATATAGAACGGGTTGACCAATTCATGTTCAAAGTTCATTTTTTATAGCTCTAGTAAACCCATTTTTCACCAAATATGCTTAACTGTCAACTTTGAAATAAAGATTATCAAATAATAAGTCGTTCAGTAAAATAAAATGATAAGATGTTTTGAAGATGACATTACTGAGAACATGATTTTAGAAAAATATAACTTTTCTGTGAATTTTGAAAATTGAGAAACATTTTGTCTCAGAGTGGGGGATTGTCCACGCCTTATACGCCCTCTTTCTTTAATAAAATTCATGACTTATGATGAAAGCAATCGACGGAGACCAGCTAGAAGAATAAAATCAAATAGTCTAAGAGAATAAAATGGGTGGAATACTATTAGAATACTTAAAATGGTTTATTATTTGACGATTATCCTTTAAAAATTTGAACACTAAAGTTACAAGTAACAACGATCAAAGTTTTCACCATAGGAAATCAAAGTATTTTTACTGTGAATTTCAGATATATATATTTATTTTTTTCCCTACAAGTCATTTTCTGATATTACAGAGAACTATGTCTTGTATATTTATATTTTTGAAAAACTATAGTAAAGTTTTTTTTGTTAGAATTTTTAGAGTATCTATCTTTATCTTGATAAAGGCATATAAATATATATTTGAATAAAAGGTTTACCTCTTGCAGGACAGTTCCCGCTGTTACCATTTTTCCCCACTAACCACCACGCATCTGATTCGCAGAGCAGGAAAACACCCAGTACGAAAAACTAAATAAAACATTTAAGACATGTGAAAAATAAATGTTCATTAAACTAAAAATTGTCAAGAAAAATAATTCGTAAGGTGAATAAAAAGTAAAAAAAAATTCGTTTTGACAATCAAGAAGAAATTTACTCACGTTGACAGATCTGGAAAACATTGCGAAAGGTTTTTCATTCGCAGAAAGAATGTTTATTGGACAAGGGATCCACTTAGTTTATATTCTTATTTTTTGTCGATAAAATAGCTTGCCTGAGTATATTAAGCTTAAACTGAAATATGATATCATAAATTTCAATTTTTCCTTTCTTGCTCAACATCTGAACCGGTGGATACAACGAATAAAGAAGAACCAGATTATGTTTAATAATTTTTCTTTCGATACATACTATACATATTTTTATTGACATGTATACACATGATGCATGTTTTGAACTCTTTTTCGTTCATTGCATGTCTATGGATCGTCACGAGAGTGCAATCGGTAGAGCGTTCAAAAAAGGTAGCAATTGTTCCTTCGCCATGTGCTCGGCACTTTGAAGTGAAAGCCGCGGGTCATTCGGACGGAACTTTAAAAACTGAGGTCCCGTGTCACCACAAGGGTTTGCACAATAAAGATCCCTCGCTGCTCAATAACTCTTTTGTACCGAGTAAAGGACAAATTTTGAAGTCCGTCACCGGTTTATGATGACGTCTCTGTAGCAGATGAGAGGTAAAATGACAAGTACTGTGAATTAAGGAACAGTGTGAACAGAAAGGATGAAGACCTGACTATTTCAACAGGATATCCTGGACTCCGAGCGAAGTCTGTTTAAAAAATTTTAAAGTTTATGAAAACATTTTCCGAAACAAAAACAAAGATACGTTGTAAAATAAGTTCGGAGACAGAGAAGGCTTCTTGCTGATCCTGAATTTGACATTTAAAAGACACCAAGAAGTGGAAGCTACATGATGATAACATTTGATTCATTGTGGAATCGCCGACTATAGGAACTCATAATATTCAACTTGAGACCATCTGATGATGTCAATGACTTATTTTGAAGCTCCAAGGAGTCTAGATTAGGGGGCATATCAACATAAAGCATCTACCGTAATCTGTGAGTTACCAATTTAGTTGGTGACCTTAAATAAAAACAATATTTGATCGATACATTCATTAAAGGATTAATATAATAATTATGATGTTTTGATAATTTTAATGTATGATTGAATAATTCTTAGACCCCCTATTAGGTGAGGTCCAACATTGCAGAAAAAATGCTTTGATATGTTCAATTGCACGTCACCTTACTGATAAACAGAAGTATTTTCTTTTTTCTTATTCAGATACGAAAATTCCAAATCGATACAAATAGCTCTGGGAAGATCACTGGCACCCTTCTGTTAATATTTCAGGGGCACAGAATCTGGGAGGGTGGGTGGGTTGATCTGTGGTGCATATTGAACTGCCCCTCCCCACTTGTTTTTTTAAAGAATGTAAATATTATTTTCGTAAGAATTTTTTTTTGAAAAGGTTGGATGCTAAATAAGGTTTGTTCTTTTGTCATAAAATCATTCAGTAAAACCGTTATTGCAGTTTTATAGTTCAGTACGATATTTGAAGTCCTTCAAGTATATATACAATATTCACTCACCCTTCGAATTCGGACTCGATGAATATTTTACTTCCTCAGGACTTAAGAATTTAATGATAATAACATTTGTATATTTTTCAATTAATGAAACAAACAAAACCCCTTATAAATATTGAAAAAAAACTTTAATTGTATTTTTGGAGGAATTTTCACGATCGAGTATCGCGACATAGCTCTTTCTAGCAAATTCTTCTCGTACGAAAATTAGTCGTCACTGATAGATTTCAGACTTAACATTCACGAATACATGTAAATACTGTTTCAAATAATAGTTTGTTATTAGCAATTTTATCAATATTTTCTTTCCAAAGAAAAAAAAATACGTTTCACCATTATTTCAATACTCGTATTTAAAAGAGTGAAAACTTGTATCTTTTGAATTTTTAGCCTCGTCATCGCGAATATTTCTCGCCGCTAAACCGGTTCTTAAAGCCACGGTGTCTATTAACAACAGATCCAAAAGAAGGCTTGATCGTGAAAATTAATCGTCGTAAACTTTAGTTTATCCCTGGCAAATAGCGAAATAAAATCGTTGCAAATAAAAGTTGTTTTACAGTAGTTTGATTTCTAATGAGTCTTTATAGATAATGACGGGTGAGCTTTAGAGATCCTTAGTTTGCTTGTTATATCAACAATTTACAATGAGGAAGTGTTTGCTATATACATGGGTAATTCATCACATTACACGTACAGCATCCTTTGAACAGATGCATTGAAAAGCTATTCGGTATTGTAAATTACACTGAATCTCTACTTAACGCACCACAAATCGCACACTCGTGATTATCAGTTTCATCAATCAATATCAACAGAAATTTGTTTTATTTACTCTTACATGTTTAATTTCAATATAAAGTTAAAATATCTAAGTCAATTCGAAGTATGCAAAGTATGAAGAATATATTGTTATCCAGTTCGTCTTTTAGTCAACTTTCTTCTTTTTGAAACTACTCTCATATCGTATAATTAAATGCTGAAAATGTGCTATTTTTTGTGAAATTCTCATTTTAAATTGAGGTCAAAATTTCTCCATTATACCATGGAAGCACAAAGGGTTCGAAAAAGTTAATTCTACAAATTAAAACAACTTTGTTCTCTGAAAACCTCTCATTTTTTGCGGAAACAAACTTATCTTTGGAATTTGATTGGTGATGTATTGTAAATGTGATAAAAGATAAAAGGATTTGGAATTTTGGTTTTCACCCTGTGGGCTAATGAGGGTCAATTAAAAGCGTCGTTTCTCTACAAAAAAATTGATTCCCTGAACTCATCTTATATTTTTTGGCAGTATCCTATTCAAAATTTGAAATAGGATATGGCGTGTATTATACATGTAGATGTGCGATGACGCTTCTTTAATTTTGATTGTCACTTTCTGGGATGATGGAGGTCGAAAAAAATGTTTTTTTCTGTGAACTTCTGGCCCCTTGAACTTCTCTTACGGGGTATATTTTTTGCATTTACCAAATCATATTTTGAAATATGATTGGAACTCTCCTTGTACAAAAATATTTCAGAATTTTAACTGGGGGCCAAATAGAATTTTAAAATTTTTTTTTAAAAAATCCCAATGGGCAGTAATTAGGATATTTATTAGCAATTATATTTTCATATTCCAATGAAGCAGATTTTATTTTAAAAAAAACATAAGAAAAAATACTTGCTGTGACTTTCAACTCGATATTCAGATATCTCGGCAATATTTTATCAATTAACAACAGTACTGTTATTTTGATTTATATGTCTATTCTATGTATCACATTGAATTTGAAATAAGAATAAAAACAGCAGAGGGTTTAATTTGCCACATCTGCATTTTTCGATGATTCACACAAAAATTTCATTCTCAAGTATATTTTATTTGCATGTAGGTATATCAGACAATAACTTACATTCTTGTTAAACTTGCCGTGTTCATATATACCAAACACCTATCTCAAGAAAAAAAAATGTTGCAAAAATTTGATTAACTACAGCACAGTTATTATTATTTTCCTCTTTTTGTATTTTTTACAGGTGATCTTTTTCCAGGACATATCTCCATTGGAAATGCTGACAGAATCAGCTTTGTGTACTGTGATAGAAAACTGTCTAAATGTTATCTGTGATCCCGACAAGAGTGACTGCCCTTGGTTTGAATGTTGTGTAAAGTCCTACAGTACCCAGATGGGAGTTCGTTATCAGATTTTTGACACTTGTTTAGCATAACATTGTTATCAAAGATAAATTTGATTGAAAATGGGACTTCTTTCGTTATTGTCATAAATAATAAAAATGTAGTTCATGTATGTGTACTATCTTTTAAAAAATAAGAATTTGTTAGGGGTTGATTAATTGATTATTAAATTTATAAGGAATGAGATCTTGAATATTTTTCAAAAGATGAAAATGAATGCAGGATTCTTAAGGATATCAGAATGAGAAACAGAAATGCACCAAAAATAAAACTCATTATAAAAGTAGTCATTATTGTTAACCATCATCCAAGAACACCTACACACACACAATTTCAATATTTCCACTTATAACCTCAATGCCACTGTTTCAGCAATCAAATCAGGTCAAATATAGCAAATTGATGTACTTCTCAGTATATAACCATGGAATTAAGAAACTGTTACAGTTCACCTTGTTGCTTCTCTCAAGCGTTCTGCAAAAAATTTAATTGCCAAATGCGAAAGCTTGCATAAAGCTTATAAACAAGTTTAAACGCACATTTTAAATGCTGCAGGTAGCATACGCAGCAATTGAAAGCAAAGGATAAAGTTCAAGCAGCTTTTTGTTAAGTTAGTACTTGTACTTCTCTTTCAGATATGTCTTAATCACATTTGATCCTGCAATGCACATGGGTTTGTCATAGGCCACGTGCGTCTATAAGACTGTTGAAAAGATATCCTTGTACAAACAACAATTTAATAGGTCAGTTGATTATTCTTGACTGTAACCCCCAGTCTGTCTTTACAATTCTTGAACTTGGTTTGAGGCTACACTAAGCAATATATAATGTACCTTCATGCGTTGCTTCCTATTAATTAACTTTTGAGCTTGCTTCCATTCTTTCAATGCACATAAAATTTCGTTGACAGACCAATTATTATGAGATACATGATAAATATTTTTTAATTTCAAGCTCATCAAAAACGATTTTTTTAACAAAAATTAATATCAACTAGAAACTGCTTTATTCAAAAGCGAACATTTGAATGGTGCATGCATAACTAATTATTTTTGCGAATTTTCATTAAAATTGTAAAACTGATCTTAGACTTTAGAGAAAATGCTTGTTGTACTTAAATATGCTGATGATGATGCACGTCAACAGTCCTTGTACAATAAATTTGATGTGTAAGTGTATAATTATCTTTATATTTTTTTGGCAATATGGTATTTCTACCCTTCCACACCAAATGTCCGTCTTCAACAAGAAAAAAAAATATTTCTCTGTTATCATGTTTCACATACAAGGAACCTAATACAGTTTACAGCACCCCCTCCTCAAGCTCCCATTTTATTTATTTATCAATCAAATACGTAATCATGTCACATTACATTATATTGTGACA